GTGCTGAATCATGACTGGACAATTACGGGGAAAGACTGGGGCAGTAGAGGGGTAGATCTATCTTGATCATCAGATGACCTTTCAGGAAAGAAGGTGGGGGAGTTAGCTTTTTCCACCTAGCTCTGTATTTTTCTGTCCCTCTTACCTTTTGCCCTTTATTTTCCATTTTAGAGGTAATTTGCAGACTCAGCGTCTTATCACCAGTGCTATAGGCTCAGTGCCAAGTGGAAGGCAGAATTCATTCCTTCCATAGTAAGACAATTTCCAGGAAAAAAAAAAAATTCTTTTGTTTCAGTTTATGGGATTATGCAGGGCCGTAGGTACTTCAGGAGAATTGCTGGAACAATATGGATGATTAGAAATTAGTATTTAGTGATACCTTGCATTTGTGTAACATTTTATGTCCTCTGGCCGTGTAACTCCTCCTCCTGTACCGGTCAGCCAGTAGCACAGCATAGTGGTCAAGGGTGTAGACTTGGTGATCAGGTTTCCTGGGTGTGGTGTGCTAGCTCTGCCTCTTATTGGCTATGTTACCTTGGGTAAGTGACTTAAGCTTCTGAGGCCTGATGTCCTCATCAGTAAAATAGTGTTAATGATAGTACTGCCTTCTACTATGGTAAATGAGAAGACATATAAACTACAGTGGCTGTCCATAGTAATGATTCAATAAATGTAAGCTATTATTTATACCCTCTCCTCACTTATTGACACAGTTAGGTTCCAAAGACCAGGTCGTTATGTGAAATTGGCATTATGCGAAAATGGAGGATGACCGCATCAGATCACAAAAGGGAGGATGACTACATCATTATATAACTGCCAAATTATATCATTACATAATTGCCAAGCCGCTGAGAATCGTGGCCCAGCCAAGTTGACACATAACCTTAACCATCACAGCCAGTGTTACTCTCGTCTCACACCTTGGCCTCGACAATCGTTACTGCCAGACGTACATCATTAATGCACAAAATAGTCCGATAGTAGATTTTTTTACTATTGTCGTAAATGCAAAATGTTGGATAATGAGATAGTAATAAGTGAGGAGAAGCTGTATTATCATGTGCAAGGGTAGGTGCTGCAGAGGTTAAACAGGGACTGTTGTTTCCACATTGGCAGTATGGAAAATGCCAATAGCAGTATGTTGTGCTCTGGAAGTTCAAAGGAGGCAGAGATGGGATCCTGCAAATGTAATCAGAGATGTGACCACTACCCCCTAGCACACTTTGTATGGCCTGTGGCCAGTGTGCCTTTGCCTGGGTTCCTTCTTGTCTGTCACTCTCCTCGTTGGTCCAACAAATCCTTTCGTGTTCCTTCCTCCTCGTTAAGTGCTGCCAGGCTGATACGATGAAGACACTGCCGTATGTTTGATTAGCTTTCATGTTCCTAATCTCATTTGATTCTCACATGTGTGGGGTGAATTTTCCCATTTTTCAGATGAGGAAATTAAGGCCTAGGAGGGTAGGTTACTTGCCAGGGTCTTGAGCCTGGAAAACCCAGGTCATCTTGGCATTTCCTACTCATAGAATATACCCAGATTTATTTGTTTCTTGAGCCTTTCCCAAAAAAATCCAGAGGTAGATGATGCTAATGGTGTTAACCCTGCTTCAGTTAGACTGTAGGCCTCTTCCCACTGCAGTGGTGCTTCCACTCCAGAGGTGACATTCCCTAACCCACCTCTTTCTGAAAACCCTCTGGTAAACTCTTTTTCCAGAATAGAAAGAACTTTAGATTGGAAGCTAAGAAATCTGATTCTAGTCTCAGCTCCGCCACTTCAGTTATTTGACCTTGGACAACTCATTGGCCTCCCTGGGTCTGTTTCCTTGCCTGTACAATGAAGGGGACTGTTGTTAGATGCCATTGAGTCAGTTCTGACTCATAGCAACCTTACATATAACAGAACGAAAATGCTGCCCGGTCCAGCGTCATCCTTACATCTTCCTATATTTGAGCCCATGGTTGTAGCCACTGTGTCAGTCCATCTCACTGAGGATCTTCCTCT